TCTCGCGCCTACTTGCGCTTGTTGGCCTCGCTGGCGGTACTGGGGTCGCCCCGTGCGCTGCTGTGCCGCCGCTGTGCGCCTAGCCATTTTGGCTTGCCATCCTGGCCTCTCCTCGCGCCTACTTGCGCTCGTTGGCCTCGATGGCGGTACTGGGGTCGCCCCGTGTGCTGCTGCGCCGCCGCTGTCGCTTTATTCTGGGCCGTAGGAACCACTTGCCCTCGGACAAGCGCCTGCCGCTGCATGCGCGTCAGACCCGCCATTTCACCCAGAAGAGGTGCTCGCTATATACTGGAAATGAGGCAGCCACAAGGACGCTCATCCCAAGGCGGTTGAGCCGTGGTGATGTGGTGCACGTGTCCGAGTAGTAGTAGTAGTAGTAGTAGTAGTAGTAGTAGTAGTAGTAGTAGTAGTAGTAGTAGTAGTAGTAGTAGTAGTAGTAGTAGTAGTAGTAGTAGTAGTAGTAGTAGTAGTAGTAGTAGTAGTAGTAGTAGTAGTAGTAGTAGTAGTAGTAGTAGTAGTAGTAGTAGTAGTAGTAGTAGTAGTAGTAGTAGTAGTAGTAGTAGTAGTAGTAGTAGTAGTAGTAGTAGTGTAGTAGTAGTAGTAGTAGTAGTAGTAGTAGTAGTAGTAGTAGTAGTAGTAGTAGTAATAGTAGTAGTAGTAGTAGTAGTACTAGTAGTAGTAGTAGTAGTAGTAGTAGTAGTAGTAGTAGTAGTAGTAGTAGTAATAGTAGTAGTAGTAGTAGTAGTAGTAGTAGTAGTAGTAGTAGTAGTAGTAGTAGTCGTCGTCAGAAGCCTCTGGAGTGGAGGTTTCTCCGAGGCCTCTGGAAGTTCCCAAGAAAAAAACCTTCGGAAGTTCCCTAGAGGCCTCGGGAAGCCTCCCAGAGGCCTCTGGATGTTTCCCAAAGGCCTTTGGCAGTTTCCCACAAACCTTTGGAAGCTTCCCAGATGCCTCTGGAATTTCCCCAGAGGCCTCGGGAACCTTCCCAGACGCCTCTGGGAACTTCCGAGATGCCTCTTGCAGTTCCCCAAAGGCCTCTGGAAGCTTCTGAGAAGCCTCTGAAAGCTTTTTCAAAAGGCCTCTGGAAGCTTCCCGATGGCCTCTGGAAACTACTCAAAGGCTTCTGGTTTGGACGCCCGACATGGGTAATGAAAAAATGGGTACAATTCCCAACAACAAATGTTCTCCCAAACCAACAACGGCCGCGATTGGGCAGGCGGCCTTCTGTCTCGAATGGACACAGGCCGCGCCGGCGTGGACAACGAATCCTGTTCAAAATGAACAAGAACTGCTGTTGGGCATTGTGCCAATTTTTTCCGTACCCGTTTCGAACGTCCAGATCTGGAGACCTCTGGAAGCTTCTCAAATGCCTCGGCAGCTCCCCAGAAACCTCTTGAAGTTTCTCAGAAGCTTCTGGAAGCCTCTCGGGAACTCCCCAAAGACCCCTGGAAACTTCTCTGAAGCTTCCCAGAAGACCCCTGGAAACATCCCAGAATCCGCTGGAAGCCTTTTTGGAAATTTATCGGAAATGTCTGGGAAACTTCTCGGACACTTCTTGGACACCTCGCGGACATCATCCGGAATCTTCTCGGACACTTCTCCGAAGCTTCTCGGGAGTTCACAGAAATTTCTCGGAATCTCCCGGAAGCGTCTCAGAAACTTCTCCGAAACTTCTCGGTAGCTTTTCGGAATCTTCTCAGAATCTCCCGGAATCATTCGGAACCTCTCGGAGTCTTTCGGAATCTCTCGGAATATTTCAGGATCTCTCGGAATATTTCAGGATCTCTCAGAATGCTTTAGAATTTTTCATAATCTCAAAGAATCGCTCAGAACCTTTCACAATCTTTCGGGATCTCTCAGAATCTCGTGCAATCTTCAGAATCTCGGAATATTTTCGAATATGTCGGACTCTCTCGGGATCTATCAGAATCTCTCGGAACCTTTCGGGATCTCTCAGAATCTGGCGGGATCGGTCAGAATCTTCCGGGATCTCTCGGGATCTTTCAGACTCTTTCGGAATCTGTCAGAATCTCTCAGAATATTTCGGAATCTTTCGGGGTCCCTAGGAATCTCTCAGAATCTTTCGGGGTCTCTCAGAATCTCGCAGATTTCTGTTGGAATCTCAACGGAATCAACCGGAATCTCTCGGAATCTCTCGGAATCTCTCAGAATCTCTCGGAAACTCTCAGAATCTCAGAATCTTTCAGAATCTCTCGGACTCTCTCGGGATCTCTTGGGCTCTTTCGGAAGCTCTTTCGGAATCGCTCGGACTCTTTCGGGATCTTTCAGAATCTCTCGGAATCACTCGGAATCCTTGGGAATCTCTCGGAATCCGCCGACCCTTTGGGGATCAGCGGCGTGTGAAATGCTTTCCCCTCCCCAAGCCCCTCCCCCCGGAGCCCGGTCCGGTTGATTTTGAGGGGGGGGGCCGTCCGGCCAAAGCTCACCAGGGGGGCCCAGCCCTTCCTGGGTTCCTTTTGGAGGTCCACGACAGCTTCTGGGGCCGCCCAAAAAGCCCCCTAGACGGTCCACGAGGGCCCGAGACGCCGAAAGATCGTTCCAAGACGCCTAACATGGGGCGGAAAATCGTTCCAAGACGCCTAACATGGGCCGAAGACGGCCCAAGAGGCCGCCAAGACATTCCAAGAGGCCTTCCAGGTTAAATTCCATCCGGGGAACGTACATTTCTAGCAACTACGATTTTTCCGCCTCGCAGCGCGGAAACCCCTCCAAAATGCCTCCAAGACAGCCCGACGGCCCCATAGGCTCCCAAGAAGACCCCAACACGGCACAAGAGGCGCCCAAAACTACCCAAAAGGGCCCCAAGACGGCCCCAACAGGGGCCCGAAAGGGAGACCACGAAACGAACAGTCCAGCCGTCCGCCCCTAGAGGCTCCCAGGAAGCCACAAGAGGCTCCAAAAAGGCGTCCGGACGCCCCCCAAAAAAAAACATTCCAAAATGCCTCCAAGACTGCCCTAAGACGGCCCCATAGGCTCCCAAACCGGAACGGGCACTTCGAACCTTCGGCTCCGAAACGCCCCCGACGTGCCCCAAGGGACCCCCAGGACCCCCCCGAGAAAAACAAAGGGGTCGGCGGCGTGTCGTAAACCTAAGAATCCACGTCCGGAAATGACGTGCTGAGCGGCAGCGTTTTCCGCGGATGCGGTAATGCAGTGGATCCAATGTGTCCAATGTTTGCATAATTCCCACATGCTGTATTGTGTTACATTAGTATGTATCCCCCTTAACCCCCCCTGCAGTCACGCCACACGAACGGACCAAGATGGCCCCCTCCTCCCGGGGCCCTAAAAGAACCGACAGATGACAAATCTCTTGGGCCTCTTGGGGCTCCAAGAGGGCCTCAAGATGGCCCAAAATGGCCCCAAAACGGCCCAAAACGGCCCCAAGACGGCCCAAGATATTCCCAACGGGGGCCCATGAGGCCCCCAAGACGGACCCAAAAACTCCAAGGACGGCCCAAGAGGGCCCCAAAAGCGCCCACAACTGCGCCTCCAGAGGCCGAAATCATTGATTCCCCGATGGTTTCTGCAAGATTTTAAGGTTCTCGTCTTTTTCGACTTTCACAAATCCATGACGGCCAAAGCAGCTTCCAGAATCGCCCCAACACAACAAAAAAAAACTCAAGCGGGCCCCAAGACGGCCCAGGAGGGCCCCCAAACGGCCCCAAGAGCCACCCAAAACGGTCCAAGAGGCCGCGAAGACGGCCCAAGAGGACCCCAAGAGGGCTCCAATGCGGCCGCGAAAGGCCCCCAGGACAGCCTCCGAGGGGGCGAAATGGCGCAAAAACGCCATGACGGCCGAAGACGCCCCGAAGAGGCCCCAAGAGGCCCCCAAGAAGCCTCCAAGAAACCCCCCAGAAGACTCCAACAGGCCCCCCCCCAAAAAACCCAATGGCCACACAGCGACTGGAGTGTAATGTTATTTTCCCCCCTCTGGGCGAACTGCGGCGCAGCGCCAGCCAGGTGGAAGTTGGTCACTGCGGCGCCCATGATTAGAGCCGGCGCTGGAAGGGAAGATGGGGAGGGCGTATGAAAAGGAGGGAGGGGGGAAAAAAAACCCCAAAAACGTCCCCAAGAGGCCACAAGAAACTCCCAGGAGGCCTCCAGGAGGCCCCCAAAAGGCTCCCAAGAGGCCCCGCGACGACGTGACTGTACGTGCTCGGGACGTGCACCCCGCGAAGCGAGAGGAATCATCCGGAATCACCTTTAAGAATCTTTCAAAAACTGCTGGAATCTTTCAAGATCTTTCAGAATCTGTCAGAAGCTCTCAGAATATCCCAGGATCTTCCGGAAAAATTGGGGATCTCTTGGAATCTCTCGGGCTCTTTCAGAATCTTTCAGAATCTATCAGAATCTCTCAGAATGTTTCAGAATGTCTCAGAATCTTTCAGAATCTTTCAGAATCTCGCAGGATCTCACAGAATCTCTCAGACTCTTTCAAGATCCCTCATCATCTGAGATTCTCTCGGAATCTCTCGGAATCTTTCAGAATCTCTTTCAGAATCTCTTTCAGAATCTCTTTCAGAATCTCTTTCAGAATCTCTCAGGATCTCTCAGAATGCCTCGGAATCTCTCGGGATCTCTCGGAATCTCCCGAAATCTCCCAACATCTCTTTTAGAACGGTTGGGGTCTCACTCGCCCCAGCGGTGCATGGCGGTTGTGATCTGACTCGTCCCGTTGGGATCTCACCCGGTCGGTTGTGATCTGGCACCTTCTCGGGCCCAGGGGGGCACCAGGGTGCCCGTACCAGGGTACCCGGGAGCCCTGCCGGGGGGGGGATGGGCTGGGAACCCAGGTGGAACAAACGACCTGGGCTTCGTCACTTGGGGCCTGAACCTTGTAGCCAGGTAAGGGCTGCGCAAAAGCCCGGCCCAATTTTCCATGTGGTGTTTCAATCATCCGAACCTACGCACCCAAATGCCCCCCCTCGCTCTCATCCGCGTCTGCGGAAGTTCTAGGGAACGTATTTCGACGACAGGATCTCGACTCATGGCGGCCGTCGACACAGTGCACACCAAGGGATTAAGGGGGAGCTTCTCATCAACTCAGCGAGGTGCATGCGTTAAATCGATGGAAACAGACTGTTTGGTTATCGGGTAGACTTGTCGACCGCACAATACATCGCATTATAATGCCCACCACAACAAACCTTTCAAGAACCATCATTCTTCGCTCCCCAATCGGGCACCCATGTGCGAGGCATTGTTGAGCAACTCTGCGCGCTTCTGCTCCACAGTGGCAGTGGCGGTATAGATCCTCTGCCAGCGCTGACGCCGAATGCGGGCCCACATTTCGGCGATCGAGATGCTTCCAAATGAATCCGTATCGAATGGCAGGGCTGCTGCTTGCATGACTCTGTACCCCTCGGCCGCATGCTGGTTGAAATGATGACCGCAAGGCATTTGAGCATATGGGTGTATTCAATAAGAAATCGACCGCGTCAAGGCGTGCTCATTGGACACATCTGGCTCGAACTCAAGTGACTCGTGGCTGACTGGGCGTGCCAATCGTGTTTGAAACAATTGAGGCCCGTTACAATGTCTCATGCTGGGCACGTTGCCTACCGTCTTAGCTCCTTCTGCGGCTCGTAATAACTACACCCTTTCCCTAAACTGGCAAGATGGAGCCTGGCTCGGGCCATGTTTCCCTGGCTGGTTCACACACTTCTGCCCAACATCTTATGTACGCAGTGCGCGAACAACTGTTAGGGGTGCGTCGAGCGGCAGAGTGCAATGTCGATGATATCCATGGTGAACAGCAAACGCGCGCAGACTTGACAAGAGAACGAGAGGCAGAAATAAGGGACGGAAAGCGCGAGCCAGCGGAGCAAATCTGGCTGGATCGTGAGTCCATCGGTCTTACGGTTCCATCAAACTATCTACCCATCAGCAGCTGCCCAAGCAAACTCTCTGACGTCTTGGCCTCCCACCCACCACTCCTGCCAAGGGTCACCCAAATGACACCACATAGAGGAGACAACATAGACACAACCACATGCTAGGCGACCTCTGACCCTTAACTTGGCAGTTCCATAGGGCGGGTGCGAAATCGTGCTCAAGGTCTCGATCTGCTGTCATTTCCCATGGAATCGAGAGCCGAGTTCTAGGAACGGCTTCCCATAAACTGGGCTGGACTGCAATTGCTTGTTATCCTCTAGCGGTGTTGCCAAACCTTTTGCGCTTGCAAGATCCGGCTGGTTGGCTCGCAGGCCGGTCCCAACACAACAGGTCGACTAACGTGCTACAGAGTTGGGGCGAGGGATTCCTAGTCGCCTATTCGCTTCAAAGCTACACCTTCACCTGCATCAGAATGAGAGCGCAGTGCGTGCAATCCATGCGATCCACTCGACATGCTAGCCTACATGAGCGAGCACATAACACGTGCAACGCAATGCTTGGATTGGCACCACCGTATACCGCAGCGCATACTATTAGCTTCAAGGCACTGGCAACAATGTCGCTAAAACGAGAACGGACGAAAAAGGCATACAAATATTATCCTGTCGCATGCCTCCGTTTTCTTCACCTCCAATTCCTTGATCTCCTCTTCGCAGGACGCAAGCTGCTGCCTTTTCCGCCGTTTGCATGGACGAACTTTGCAAGAGAAATGGCCACAGCTGATTTCCCATGTTCTCCGTATGTGCTCCTCAGCGTTGCTGCAGACACCATTGAGATGCACAAGGCAACACTTCCGCGGTAAAGCCTGTTTAGATGCGACAGACAACATTGAATGCGCGTCAGCATTGCCAGCGCATGTGTGAATGTGTGATGACCTGTATGTGAAGCTGGTCGGTATCGCCTGCATACGCAGTTCATGGCACAAGGTGACCGCCTACACTAGACAACGTCCAAGAACATAAGCTGGTTGGAAACATCTGGGAACACGTTGCCCTCAACTGCAACACAACATGTCCGAACAACCACACACCGACCGACATGTCAGCCACGTTCCAACCGGACATCGGCACGCCACGCGTGCAGCACTTCCAAGGATACCCTTCAAGCTCCACAAATAGCTGCGCAGAAAGGGCTCAAGGCCGCGAGACAGAACAATCAGCCCAGCGAAGGACCCAACCATATGCGTCTGCAGAACCGCATGGCAAGTGGAAACAAAGGGGAGGGACTAGCACAGGGAATAGGGCGTGCGTGGGAAGGACGGTGCGCGGGAAGGAAGGAGCGACATTGCTGAAGGGGTCGCAAAGGTAGGCCGTAACGGTTTGTATCTGGATGTCACCCCTTACGATTGATCTGCGCGTCTGTCGGCGCGGCCCTGGGGGCAGCATGCGGCGGGGCCTTCGGTGGGGCCCCCTATGGGGCCACGAAGCGTGTGATGGGTGTGCCGAAGTGGGAGCGGTCACGTATGCGAGTCCTGTCACTGGGGCCTTCGGTGGAATTCCCTATGGTGCCACGAAGCGTCTGAGGGGTGTGCAGAACTGGGCGCCGTCACGCATGCGGTTCCTGGAATTAGAGCCTTCGGTGGAGCTCCCTACAGGACCACAACAAAGTGCGAGGTGTGTGCCGAAATGGAGGCGGGCACGGCATGCGAGCCCTGCAACTGGGGCCTTTGGTGAGCTCCCTATGGTGCCACGAAACGTATGAGGGGTGTGCCGAAATGGAGGCAGGTACCGCATACGAACCCTGCCACTGGGGTCGTCAGTGGAGCTCCCTACAGGACCACGAAACATGTGAGGTGTGCCGAAATGGAGGCGGGCAACGCATACGAGCCCTGCCACTGGGGCCTTCGGTGAACTTCCCATGGGGCCACGAAACGTGTGATGGGTGTACCGAAATAGAAGCAAGTACCACATTCGAGCCCTGCCACTTGGGCCTTCGGTGGAGCTCCCTCTGAAACCACGGATCGTGTGAAGGGTAAACCGACATTGGAGGCGGGCACCGCATGCGAACCCTGCTGGTGGGTCCACGAAACGTTTGAGGGGTCTGCTGAAATGCGGAGGGCAGAGGCAGCGATGGGAGGGTGGAGGAGGGGGAGGATGAAGGAGTGAATGAGACGCGGGCCGCTGTCTCTTCAAAACGGTGACCCAGCACAGCAGGACGGTCGGGAACAGCAACGGTCCCTGGGCATTTGCAACGAACAGAAACATTGAATCGCGTGATCTTTAAAACCTCCCACTTGGAACATCTCAGTGTGTCGGGGTCCCAGTGGCGCCCAGACAAACAACATGTCATTTGGACGTGAAAACCAAAAAAGTCGAATAACCAACGGCTCCATCGATCCCATGCTCTGGCCGCGCTTCCGTCCCACATCCAGCTGCCTGAGCTTGTCCCGCTTGGCGTACGCGGCCGACACCTTCGAAAAGGATGAGGGGGAAGCGGGCACAGGGCGGAGTCACCGTGCGGAGCCAGCAACCTGCGCACGTACTCCCATCACCCTTCATTCCATGCGTGCGAGGAGTCAAAGAGTCGAGGAGGGAAGGCAGGGCGCGGACGAGAAATGGCAAGGTTCGCGCGAGCACTGAGCATTGGATATTAGCGGGGGGATGGGGGGCCTGTTTTGATATCTGCTCCAACTCTTTCTGCAACGGTTCGATATTCTTTCGCATCTTCTGCTCGTTGCCCTTCAGCACGTTCTGCACACGCTGCATCTCGAGGGATGGGCTTGTTTTCGCCAGCACCGGAAACCGAGACATGGACGACCGTTGACAGAAGAAACGGAAGAGGATGCTAATGTTAAGGGTTTGATTTTCTCCAGCCACGAATAATACAACGCGCGGCCGCAAACAAAAGGCAATGTTCTTCTGGGGTCATCTTAGCGTGTGGCATGCCCGCCTGCATGGCTGCACGGGGCCCGTGTACTCCGGCCAGCCGTTCCCGCGCAGGGTAGATTTGAAGCCCTCCCGGGCTGACACAAGCCTGTATGTTTTCGCGGAGCATTGAAGCTGACGTCAAACACCAACAACAACATTCACGTAAACGTTAACATCTGTCTAATCGTCGACGGAGTCATACACACAACAGCAACGCAAAGTGTGACCGTATCCACAGCCTGCTTCGAAGCACTGACCGCGGCTGACGCAATCCTCAGGCGCCGAGTTGATGAATGAGAGCTCGCACATGTAACCGCACCTTGTGAACAAAGGCGGGTTGCACGAGCACTGCTCTGTGTTGTGCCGCTTCCGCCGCTGATAAGTCGTGGATCTGGGACCGTCGGATGCCAAACTACACATAGCTGGAGCACTGCGGATCTCGCGCACCAGGCGTGCTGGCCGAACGCGTGTCCACGCGCCGAGTCTTACCAAACGAAATGCAGGCAATGTAAACATTGCTTGCGTGTGCAAGCGCTGGGCTCCCCCGCCCGCTCCCGTTCTGGGAAGCACCGCCATCCACTTTTCGAATTGGCACTGTTCGCATCGCACCCTTACCCACTGGCCCGCCCTGGTGCCCGTACTGCGCCCCGCCGCCGCTGGACCCCGACGCAGCAGCAGCCTCATCCCCGATGGCGGGGCCGGCCGCGCCACTCGCTCCGGGCGTGACCCGGCCCCCTGAGCGGCTCTCGCTCCCTCTCCCCGCCTTCGGCCGCCCTGCTGTCCTCCTCCATTTCCCTGTATTGTGGCACAATTCGCTGCAACGGTATCCCCGTTTAAACAGCTCTTCCGCCAGCGCACTTATTCTGCCTAGCCGCCGACGCAAATACAAACGTGTGCAAACGCTGGCCTACGTGGCCAGCGCTTCAAGCACGACTAGCACAGACACGACGTCGGCGATCAATGCTCCAACCTGACCAGTCACCAATTGGACGCGCCGCTGTTGCCAACTGGGCTCGTAGGACGAAGAGGGAAACAAGAGAGGTGAGGACGAGGACCTCGTGGATGAAGGGGTGCAGGGAGGACGAGGAGAGCGAGCCTCTCGAGAAGGAGGAAGACGACGCGGAGGCCGAGTAGGACTAGAAAGCAGACAAGGACGAAGGGAAGGACGACTAGGGGAAGGACAACGTGAAGGACAGCGTGGAGAACACTGAGGAAAATAGTAACGAGGACGAGATTGAGGGCGACACGTGTGAGGACGATGAAGTAATTCAAGGGAGACGAGAACGAATCGAAAACCACCGCGCCCCGAGGCAAGGAGTGGAGTATCCTTAAATTCCTTCGAATTCTATGTACTGGGCATTGTAATCAAATGCCCTGTTGAGGAGCCCATGGCCTGGGTTGTTGGGCTCTCGCAGGCGGTCTCCGAACGTGCGGCATGCCTATACGGGTGGCCTCGGAGGCGTGGTTGGCATTCCACACTTCCAGCATAGCCTACAATGGTCGCAGGGCTGGTCCTGGAGCCCTCTTGGGCGCCTAATTATCGGGCAGTCTTGGAGGATCTGGGGGCCGCCTCCTCGGTCCAAAAAGCGTCCAAGACGGCCTAGGAACCCCCTAACATCGCTCCCAAATGACTCCCGAGGCCCCGACGAGGGCCCTAGAGCCCCCAACTGTTGCCTTAAAAGGGGTAACGCAAACTGATGTTCGAGATCCGTCCCTCCAAGAAGGCTCAAACAACCGGCAGCAGGCCTCCGAGAGGCTCGCAAAAGACACCCAGAGGTCCCAGAGAGCCCCAAGAGCCCCTCGAGAGGCTTCCCAGATGCATCGTCTCCACGGCTCGAGCACGGTGGCGGGATGGGCCGAAAGCCACAGGATCCGCCGCCCCCTGTCGATTTATCGAAGGGGTGCCTGGCGTGTTAGACCCTCTCGGTTTTGGTTTTGGTTATTTTTCTCAATTATCCCGGCAAAGCAACCTAACAGCGATGTGTAGAAGCATATATGGAAGCACAGATGAGCATCCAGCTGTAGAGTTCTGCTGTTCTCGCAGTCGCAGTCGCATTCGCGATGACAGTCGCAGTGGCAGCGGCAGTCGCAGTCACAGCCTCAGCCTGCCTCAGTATCAGCCTGCCTCAGCCTCAGCCTCAGCCTGCCTCAGCCTCAGCCTCAGCCTGCTTCAGCCTCAGCCTCAGTCTGCCTTCAGCCTCAGCCTCTGCCTCAGCCTGCCTCAGCCTCAGCCTGCCTCAGCCAGCCTCAGCCTCAGCCTCAGCCTCAGCCTCAGCCTGCTTCAGCCTCAGCCTCAGCTGCCTTCAGCCTCGGCCTCAGCCTCAGCCTGCCTCAGCCTCAGCCTGCATCAGCCTCAGCCTCAGCCTGCAGCCTCAGCCTCAGCCCTTCAGCCTCGGCCTCAGCCTCAGCCTGCCTCAGCCTCAGCCAGCCTCAGCCTCAGCCTCAGCCTGCCTCAGCATCAGCCTGCCTCAGCCTCAGCCTCAGCCTGCCTCAGCCTCAGCCTCAGCCTGCTTCAGCCTCAGCCTCAGTCTGCCTTCAGCCTCAGCCTCAGCCTGCCTCAGCCTCAGCCTCAGCCTGCCTCAGCCTCAGCCTGCCTCAGCCTCAGCCTCAGCCTGCCTTCAGCCTCAGCCTCAGTCTGCCTCAGCCTCGCCTCAGCCTCAGCCTGCCTCAGCCTCAGCCTGCATCAGCCTCAGCCTCAGCCTCAGCCTGCCTCAGCCTGCCTGCCTCAGCCTCAGCCTCGGCCTCAGCCTCAGCCTCAGCCTCAGCCTCATCAGCCTCAGCCTCAGCCTCAGCCTGCCTCAGCATCAGCCTCCCAGCCTCAGCCTCTGCATCAGCGTCAAAATGTGGCCCGGGAATGGAGTTCTGGGAAGTCGAAGAGCACGAAGTGGCCTACAGTTGGCTCCGGGCATTCAAAATGTGGCCCGGAATGGAGTTCTGGGAACTCGAAGAGCACGAAGTGGCCTACAGTTGGCTCCGGGCATTCAAAATGTGGCCCGGGAATGGAGTTCTGGGAACTCGAAGAGCACGAAGTGGCCTACAGTTGGCTCCGGGCATCCAAAATGTGGCCCGGGAATGGAGTTCTGGGAACTCGAAGAGCACGAAGTGGCCTACAGTTGGCTCCGGGCATTCAAAATGTGGCCCGGGAATGGAGTTCTGGGAAGTCGAAGAGCACGAAGTGGCCTACAGTTGGCTCCGGGCATTCAGAATGTGGCCCGGGAATGGAGTTCTGGGAGGTCGAAGAGCACAAAGTGTGTGACTGTTTGCGAAAAGCGCATTCGGACACGAGTTCGGACACAGCTCCCCGGGTCCCGCCCAGACCCCCCTGTGGAGTTATCTGCTGCTCTCTTTTGACACCACTAGAAACCTATCAACAAAAGCTGTTAGGTTAATTATCCCGGCAAAGCAACCTAACAGCGATGTGTAGAAGCATATATGGAAACATTCCCCTTAAGATCCAGATGATAATCCAGTTGTAGAATTCTCCTGTTCTCGCAGTCGCAGTCGCATTCGCGATGACATTCGCAGTGGCAACGGCAGTCACAGTCACAGCCTCAGCCTCAGCCTGCCTCAGTATCAGCCTGCCTTAGCCTCAGCTTCAGCCTCAGCCTCAGCCTCAGCCTCAGCCTGCTTCAGCCTCAGCCTCAGCCTCGGTCTGCCTTCAGCCTCGGCCTCAGCCTCAGCCTGCCTCAGCCTCAGCCTGCATCAGCCTCAGCCTCAGCCTCAGCCTGCCTCCGCATCAGCCTGCCTCAGCGTCTGCCTCAGCCTGCCTCAGCCTCAGCTTCAGCCTGCCTCAGCCTCAGCCTCAGACTGCCTCAGCATCAGCCTGCCTCAGCCTCAGCATCAGCCTCAGCCTGCCTCGGCCTCAGCCTCAGCCTGCTTCAACCTCAGCCTCAGTCTCCCTTCAGCCTCGGCCTCAGCCTCAGCCAGCCTCAGCCTCAGCCTGCATCAGCCTCAGCCTCAGCCTCAGCCTGCCTCAGCACCAGCCTGCCTCAGCGTCTGCCTCAGCCTGCTTCAGCCTCAGCCTCAGCCACAGCCACAGCCTCAGCCTCGCCTCAGCCTCAGCCTCAGCCTGCCTCAGCCTCACCCTGCATCAGCCTCAGCCTCAGCCTGCCTCAGCCTCAGCCTCAGCCTCAGCCTCAGCCTCAGCCACAGATTGCCTCAGCCTCAGCTTCAGCCTGCCTCAGCGTCTGTCTCAGCCTGCCTCAGCCTCATCCTCATCCTCAGCCTCAGCCTCGGCCTCAGCCTCAGCCTCAGCCTCAGCCTCAGCCTGCCTCAGCCTCAGCCTGCCTCAGCCTCAGCCTGCCTCAGCCTCAGTCTGCCTCAGTATCAGCTTGCCTAAGCCTCAGCCTCAGCCTGCCTCAGCCTCAGCCTCAGCCTGCTTCAGCCTCAGCCTCAGTCTGCCCTCAGCCTCAACCTTAGCCTCAGCCTCAGCCTCAGCCTGCCAGCCTCAGCCTCAGCCTCAGCCTGCCTCAGCGCCTGCCTCAGCCTGCCTCAGCCTGCCTCAGCCTCAGCCTCAACCTCAGCCTCAGCCTCAGCCTGCCTCAGCCTCAGCCTGCCTCAGCCTCAGCCTCAGCCTGCCTCAGCAGCAGCCTGCCTCAGCCTCAGTTGGCTCCGGGCATTCAAAATGTGGCCCGGGAATGGAGTTCTGGGAACTCGAAGAGCACGAAGTGGCCTACAGTTGGCTCTGGGCATTCAAACTGTGGCCCAGGAATGGAGTTCTGGGAGCTCGAAGAGCACGAAGTGGCCTACAGTTGGCTCCGGGCATTCAAAATGTGGCCCGGGAATGGTGTTCTGGGAACTCGAAGAGCACGAAGTGGCCTACAGTTGGCTCCGGGCAT